CGGCGGGGGTGTCTGAGGTGCAGTCGTTCACCGACCTGGTGTACAGCAGAAACAAGGTGGGGGGCACGAGTGGTTCCAATATGCAAGATGCTTTGGTCTTCGTTTGCGGGCGAGCGTCGCGTTGATTGGACATGCTTCTGATGCTGCCCTGTTGTGCTGGCTCTGCGGCTCCGGCTGAATACGCATCGAGAGCCAACTGAATTTGTTGCGAGTGATTGTGTGCGCGCGCGTGTGCGCACGCCCGTGCTCGTCTCACGAGCCTGTCGATTCAGGGCCAGGTCAAGCCTGCCAGTCTTGATTCCTGCGGACTGCCCCCTTCCCCGGTGCACTCCCCTCCCCCCAAAACGCGCACACGGCCAGGTCGTGTCGTGCGTGCAGTGGGTGCCCAACCGCCGCGGCGTGGTGGCGGTGGCCGTGACAGACCCCGCTGGCCACCAGGAGCGGCTGGCGCGCGCGGGGCGGCTGAGTGACGCGTACGTGCTGATCTGGAACTTCAGGTGCACCCCCCCGCCACTCAGTTGTTTGATGATGCGTGTTGACATGAGAATGACGTCCAGCGTTGAGAAGCGGCGCCAGCACCCAGAGGCGACGGCCGTTCGGCGCCATGAGTGGGCACCGTGCCTGAACACACAGAGTGTGTGTGTGTGTGTGTGTGTGTGTGTGTGTGTGTGTGTCCGCCCCCGCGCGTGCTTGTCAAAGTGTGTCCCTGTTGCGGCCCCGCCTCATCAGACCGCATACCACTCCCCCAGGGACCCCATCCACCCAGAGTGCGTCCTGGAGTGCCCCTACGAGGTTTTCTCATTCCAGGTGATTCCAATGCAGGCCTGTGCCCGTGCTGGCTGCGCCCCCCAAAAGCTCCCGCGTGCAACAATGCATCAGGGGCGGTCGAGGCGCCCACTGGGGGCTGCCGCGGGTCCCAGCAGACGCGTTGGGTGGCTATGCCCCAGTATTGCCCCGACGGGCCTCGTGACCGGCGCCGCGGCCACGCGCCTGCACCCTGTGCCCTCTACGTTTCGGCCGCCACATGCCAGCGCTGCACCTGGGGCAGTCCAGTGATTAAAATGCAGCCCAGCTCCAAACACACACCCCCTCACACCGCACACACCCCCCCCTCCCCCACTCCCGAAGTTCAATCCCGTCAACCCCGACATCATCGCGGGCGGCTGCTATAACGGCCAGGCGAGTGCGCGCACCTGCGGCGCGCCCGGGCCGCCGCGGCCCAGCCGCAAACTCGCTGTGCGAGCAAATTTGCTCTGCACTTCATTGGCCCCTCTTGCATGCAACCACATGGGCGTCTGGGCAGCACCGGCCGCCCCTACGCTTGCGTGGTGGGGCAGCACGCATGGGCGACCCAGCACGCCCTCCTGGCTGGGGGGCCATCTGCGGGACTCCTCAAAATCCAAGACTATCTTGGTGACACACCAACCTCGGCACGCGCCCCGCTCCTGTGGCATGAAGGCAGGGTTGAGCCCGAGGGCGGCGAGGGGGGTGGTGAACGCTCAAACCCCCCCTGCTGCCCCCCCCCCCCTGCACTATCCCTGCGGCCTTCAGAGCATCGAACAAGCCGACGTGCTGTTCCCGCCCGGCTTCACCCCACCTTACCCACCTTCCCACATGCGAATTCATCGCAGTCGCCCCACCACTTCCCATCTGACCTGCTGCCCGCCTTCACCGTTTGACTCACGCAGTCCATTTCCTTGACGGTTTGACCGGCCCACCCCCTTTCGCGCGCCAGGTGGTGGTGTGGGACCTGACAGAGGAGCACGACCGCATCGCCCGCCGCCGCACCACCGCCCCGCGCAGCGGCAGCGGTGCCGGCGGCGGGGCCGGCGCCGAGGACGGCGGCGCGGGCGGCGGGGCGGCCGGGGACACGCCCGCCGTGCGGCACAGGCGAGCATCTGCGGGCAGCGCGGGGTGGGAGCGATTGAATCCCAACGCATCCCAGCCAGGGGGGATGCAGGAGTCAAGGTTGCGTGTCCAACCGCATATCCTGCTCAGCGGCGCGTTTACCCCTCTGCACCGCTAGCAAAGTGCCGGCCCCGCGCCGCCCCTCTGCCAGTTGCGCGCGCCTCCTCCCCTCCTGAACTTCCGACAACATTACGCCCCCGACCCGCCCGCGCCGCGTCGCCGACTGTAACATACGACCCCCTCAAACAGGTTCATGTCTGCTGTCGAGGCGTCTCACTCCGCCCCCATATCGGACCTCCAGTGGCTCCCAGGCATAGAGGTGGACCGCGCCGGCCGCGCCTTTCCCGTGCGCGCGGGCAGCGCGGGCACGAGCCACCAGAGCCTCGCGCGCAGCGGCACGCTCGGCGCCGCCGCGATTGCGGCGCTGCAGGCGGGGTCGCCGGTGCCTAGGTGCGGCGCTGCTTCGCTGACGTTTAGCCCACATGGCGCCGCTGGCCGGGCGGGGGCCGCGCCGGCGCTCGTGGGCCGCAGAGTGGCAGGGCGCTCCCCCACGCTTGCCGCCCATGCAGCCTTCACTACCCTGCGCGCTTGCACAGCGCTGCCAGCCCTTCGAGCCGCCCCTTGACAGCGATGGCACCGGCCACCCCACGTGCCCGCCAAACACGGCCTGCATTCATGTTACACTTCTCACTCCTCGCACAAACAAGGGAGTGCTGCTTCTGCGCGACGCTGGCGGCGGACGGGCGAGTCATGCTCTGGGACACGCGCGTCGAGAAGCTGCTCAAGCGGGGCGGGCGGCGCGTCGACGAGGCCGAGGTGGCGTGGAAGCCGATGCACGTCGTGCACCTGCTAAACATGCACGGTGGGGCGGGGTGGTTGTGCGAAGGGGGGAGCTGGCTTTCGGGGGCGGCAAGAGGAGAAACAGGGGAGGCAGGCACCTCCTCTGGCCCAAGAGAGGGGGAGAGGGGGGGTTGGCGCTGCCTTGCAGTTTGATTCATGCCTGGCAGCAGACGCGCTCTGGCAAGGGGGTGTTTCTTTTCGATGAAGTCGTTGTGCAAGCCGCAGATGGCCCCCGCCTCCGAGGCAACCCCTGGCTTGAAATAATTCAGGACAAGCTGCTTGATTTTGCGTGCTCATCAGCACCAGCCGCTCTTGCCCTAGACGGCTGCCCTTGGCTGTGATCCTGCTGGTTTCTCAGGCGTCGACTTTGCCGGCGCGCGGCTGTGCTTCGACTTCCACGACCTGGTGGCGGGCGGCTTCCTGGCAGCTTCCCACGACGGCCAGATCCTTGGGGGCACCTTTGTGAAGGCCCTGGGGGACAACCCTGAGTACAGCAGGTGGGCGGGCTGACACCAGGTGGCCATGCGTGTGTGAAGGTACCACAATCAGATTAAATGACTTTTATCAGCAATTGAGGCAGACATTTTCGGTGCCCTGAGGCTGGTGGGCTCATGTTATTGGCATGGAGCCAGCATTTTTCGGTGACGAGGTGGCGCTCTCTGAGCATCCGTTGTTGACGGAGCCAACCCATGCGTGCACGCATGCGGCATTAGGTTGGGCCAACCCATCTGGCAGCACCGCGGCGGGCGGGCAAGGTCTGACGACCAGCCAGATGCATCGCCCAGCTCGCAAAACCAGCAGCATGCCGTGCCCTTGCACGCACAACTCCGCCCTCAAGGAACGTCCCCCACCCTCACATCTCTCACACACACACACACACACACACACACACACACACACTCACTGCATGCACACACACAGGAACACACACTAACGCGTCGCCCGCTCCTCCCAAAACCACCCACCACCCCCGCCTCCCAGGTACTGCCACGCGCCCCACGCGGGCCCCATCGTGGCGCTCGCCAGGAGCCCCTTCATCGACGGGCTGGTCGCCTCCGTCGGCGACTGGTGCTTCAAGCTGTGGCTGGGAGACGCGCAGACGCCGCTCTTCTCGTCCCCCTTTGCAGAGGAGGTCTACACAGCAGGTGCCTGATTGTTTCAGCGTCACCTACAAGGCCCCTTGCCTCAACCCCCACCGCTTGGCCCAGCGCTTGCGGCGCCCCGAGCTAGCTAGCTAGCGAGCTGGCGCGCTATTGTGATGGTTGGCTCCTGCGCGCGGCGAGACGTGCAGGCTGTTGCAGTAGGCCAAGGCCTCAGCAAGCGCCCTTCAACGCTGGCACTCTTATTGTGTACATGCTTGCATTTGTGCATGCGCGCGCGTCTGCGTGCGCCCGCGTGCGCACACACACACCCGCGCGCGCGCGCGCACGCACGCACACACACGCACACACACGCACACACACACACACACACACACACACACACACCGCCCCGCAGCCTGCTGGAGCCCCACGCGCCCGGGCCTGCTGCTCCTGGGGGATGCAGCCGGCGCGCTGCATTTGTGGGACCTTCTTGACCGCACCCACGAGCCCGCGCTTCGCGTCGGCGCCGCCAGCTCGCCCATCACCTCCCTCTCCTTCAACGTCGCCCCGCCGGCCGCCGCGCCGGCGCTCGTGGCGCTGCACCAGCAGGCGGCGGCCAGCGGCGGTGCTGTGCAGCAGCAGGCGGCGGCGTCGGCGGGCGCGCACCAGCTGCTTGCGCTGGGGGACGCGTCGGGCGTGCTGCGGCTGATGGCGCTGCCGCGGACGCTGCGGCGGCCGCTGCCTGGGGAGGTCGGCCTCATGGCTGAGTTTGTCAGGCGCGAGGGCGCGCGTGTGGGCGAGGTCGCGGCGCGGCAGGTGCGCAGTGGGCCCGGCGGGCCGGGGCTCTGCCGAGGAGGGGGCGAGGGGAGGGCGGGGCCGACGCGACTTAAAGGGCCGGTTGCGCCTGGATGCGCGGGCGGCGCTGTTCGGGCGGCTTGGCGCTGCTGCGCGGCGTGCCATAAGCTTCAAGTCTCAAGCCCGTCCCTTTTGGCTGCGTGGTATGTGCGTCCTGCATACGCAAGTCTCACTTCAAGCTGTGCCGCATTGTTTTTCCCTCATCACAGCCGGGGAGGCTGGCGGCGCTGAAGGCTTTCGAGGAGGCGAAGGCGCAGCGCGACGCCGCAGCCGCGGCCGCCGCTTCCGCATCCTCGTCCGGGCAGTTGCCCGACGCCGCCGTCGCAGCCGGCCGCGATGCCGGCGGCGCGAGCGGCACAGGCGCGAGGGACGCGGCGGCGGCGGCGGCGGCGCCTGCGGCCGCAGCCGGCGCGCGGCGGCGGAGCTCGTTCGGTGGCTTCCATGCGGCGGGCGGCAAGGGGGG